ATCCAAGTTGGATTTACTTCTTTTAGCTGCAGAACCGCCATTGTTGCACTAAAATTAATTTTTCTTTGACCTTCTATTAGCATATACAGTGTATTTTCAGATTATGATGACCAAAACTAAATTTCAGCCTCCAAAGATAGTTTTTTTCTTGAAATAAAATAAATCCAAAATAAATCCAGTGATTAAAAAAAGCCCCTATTGTCATGTATTGGCTCCTTTGGACTAGCTTTTTGACTGTCTTTTAGTTAACTAAGAAGTGATGATTGGCAAAGAGATATTAAAAAAGCTTTGGTGGGTAAGGCTAGCCCTAATTGGTAGGTTAAATAGCTAATATCTCGGTACTGCTGCGTATTTAACATTATTAAAGTGTTTATAAAACGAGCAATATAATTACAGCTTTTCTAAAGCTGTTAGGAAAGCTCTCCTAAAGATAATGGATTAGTTGTATATACTTATAAATGCCGGTAGACAATGTTACAACACCTATTTAGTTTTAAGTGCTCTTTATTAATTTAAGCTTTTCTGAAGCTTTTGGGAAAAGCTTTCACAATATAAGGTATAAATTAAATAGACGACACAGATTGTTTAAAACTTAACGCTAATTCTGCTTCTTTAATTTAAACAGTGAATTGTAATTTAAAGTTTGAATTTGAAGTTTAGCTTTTTTGATATTTTAAAGTTTCCGAAAGCTTTTTGGAAAAGATATCCTGCCCATATAAATATTGTATAATAATGCATTGTACTTTCTATTTAGTGAATTTTAATTCCTATTTAGTTTAAACTTTAGTTTGTTTAATATTTTATAATTTCCGTAAGCTTTTGGGTAAAGCTTTCCTATCAATATTCAATAATTTTTGTTTCATTAAAGTTTTTAAGATAAGCTCTCCTAGTAATATTGTCCTAGTTATGGGGTTTTAAAAAATATCGATTTAAAATGTTGCAATTTAGTTCAAGGTGTTGCTTGCGAAGCTTTTCTAAAGCTTTTGGGAAAAGCTTTCCAAATGATATGATCCAGGTTATAAAGATGACGCATATAACTTTTCTATCTTGAGAGTATGAAAGCTTATTTAAGTTCATTTTGATGAAAGCTTTACGTATATGTATATAAAAACAACCCTAGTAGGCGCTATTCCAATAAATACACAAAGCTAAATTACAAGCGAACGTTACTCTATGATTACTTTTTATTTAATTTCCATAATGAAGAACCACCCTAATAAAAACAAACATAAAAACACATGTATAGTCCTTTGACTTGCAACAATTAAACGCACATGTTTTAAAAAGAGTTTCATGTTGCAGACAGCAATTAAAGACTCATGTCATCATGTCACTAAAATAAGTCAAGCAAAACTTTTTCTATAACAAAATACGGGGAATATATTCATAATGATTTTATGAAAAACAAAAAACATTAAAAAGAAAATAAACTAACAAATCGGTTCATATTTAAAGAAAGCCACAAAAACGGAAATGTAGCTTTGAATTTAAACACTTTCTTTGAATCATTCATTCATTTACTTTCTAAAGATAACTTCCCCCCTTTTATTGCAAAAAAAATCATCCTTATGATATGAATCTACTTATAGAAAGTAATAAAAGTTAATAAAGATATTCTCATATGAACACTCTCTGAAATATTTTCCAACTTAAAAAAAGTCAAAGTCTAGAAACTTTTGACTTTGATAACACTCGCACACAGACACTTGGAAAAATACATTCCAAAGAATATTAACACTTGTCTTGTGTGTTAAATAAATACACACTTCTCTTCATACTTACAGCAGTCGTTAGATTAAAAACATAACGAGTACATGGTTACGTATGTGTAATAAGTTGAATCGAAATGAATATTATGCATAAAATTCCCAAAAGAAGTGTTAAACAACTGTTGTTGTTGTTGTTGAAACAAATAGACAAAATTTTTTAATGTATTTATAAAACAAAATAGTAGAGTGTTATAATCTTTTTAATAAACTTTTTAATTTGCATGCTACTATGAAAGTATTTTTTACAACAATAAAGGTTATACATTAGACATTTCAGCTAGTGTGTGAAGCTGCAAAGAAAATGAAGTTTTTCTAAGCAGGGAAATACTTTTGCCATAAATGTTGTTGAGCAACTTTTGCTTTACTTTGTGAAAATGTTAAGAAACTTTGAACTTTTTGTAGCCTACGCCCTTACACATGGAAAGTTTTGGAATGCCCATTGCTGCTTTACAAACATGTGCTACAGATGCTTGTTTGTGAGCGTTTGTCAAAAAAAGCATTACCATTTAGAGTTTGTCGTTTAATGACAGTAAACCGTGTAACAATTACTTTTATGATGGAAAAGTTGTATTTCCTTTTAAATGCCAAAAGTTTTCATACTTATGAATTCATTATTAATAAAATATTTGGCAATATACAGAAGTGATATAATAAAATCGTTTGCATATAATGAGCATATATGTATGTACATATACATATGTATGTATATGTAAGTGAAGAAGAGATAAATGTATAGAGAAGAAACTCCAAAAGTTTAAGTTTTGAGTAAAACTCTTTTGTAACTTTGGTAATAGGCTTCTAAATGGAAAAGGAACATAATTTTGTAAAAAAAGCATACTTTAACTTTCGCTTACAAATAACTAAGTAAATAAGTACTTACAAATAAGAAGTTAAACAATTTGCTCACATAGAAAACTAACCAGGGCTTTTTATTCGTTAGTTCACAGTCGCACAGACTGGCCTTGATATCTGAAAACCTGGTCAAAATTATTAGAAGTGTTTTTTGAGTTAATGGCTGGATTTTGTTGATAGTTTTAGTATTAATTAGGCCCAAAGAAGTACCCAACAGATTATGTTTAAAATGGATTCGTGATTTCGCCTAGCCTCCATACGAATTCCCCATCGAAATTTATTATTATACACATAACTATGATAATTATGCAATTATCATGATCAAATTAAGCACGGACCAGTTTTGTGTACTCAAAAATCATGAAGTAAAGTTTAGAAATTCACTTTAAGGCTCATAAATTGCTTAAAAACATTGATATCGCAATTCGGCATGATCGGTCGCTCCATAATTGCCTCTAGGTCCCGAATAAACCCTTTAAGAAAATCAGTTTAATAGACTTAAAAACAGTTTAGTATCATGATAAAATTCGACGTGAATGATTTTTATATAAATTTAAAGTATTTTACCTAATTTTATTGTGATCAGTCCATAATTTCCCCCCGTACCCACATAAGGTCTCCATCTTTTTTTGTAAAAAGTTTCTAAAAACCAGTTTTAATTTGTGAATAAATTCTAGCTATGATAATATTTGTAATTATAAAAAAGATAAAATTAAAAAAAAAAAAAACGCAAAAATAACTGCACAAATTTGCGCAAACTATTTGTCTTGTATCTGAAAATAGAGATTTCATATTTTATTGTTGGATATAAAAATTTTTGAACGCCTGCTATTTTTAGTTTTAAAAGACTTTTCTATTTTTTTGGTAAAAAAGTGTAAATTTTCAAATTTTTCAAATAAAGTCAAACAATCGTCAAAAATATTTGCGCAAAAATAATTGTGCAAATTTGCGCAAACTTTTTTTGTTTCTGAAAATAGATATTTCATATTTTATTGCTGGATATAACAATTTTTGAACACTTCTTACTAATGTAATAATTGTGCAAATTTGCACAATTGTTTCTGAAAATGGAGATTTCATCTTTTATTGCTGGATATAACAATTTTCGAACAATTGTTACTTTCAGTTGTAAAACTCTTATTTATTTTTTTTGGTTAAAAAGGGGTAAATTTTTTAAAATTTCCAAAAAGTGAAATTTTCAAAAAATATTTGCACAAATTTAAAAAAAAAATTTTAATATAATCCAAAAACATACTCCATTTAACATTGTAATGTCCTAGGTGAGGACCGTTTAATCCATCCGTGACATCAGAGTAATCCCAAAACTATTCCCTTGCTAAAATTATGGGAGTACATGATTCGCAACATGGTCCTATGTAATGTAAACTATAGACCAGGTTGTTATCAAAAAACTAAACATGATTCATGCCTGCATTACATAGGACTACTGAACGGATCATGTACTCCAATAATGTTTACAGAGGAGTACTTTTGGATTACCTAAATGGATCATGTACTCCAATAACCCTGCAAAAATTTAGACTACTCCGCACACGCGTATAAGGAGTACCCCTCAAATGACTAGGACTGTTCCAAAACTAATCCAAATATATGGAAAAATCATCCATTTCAGGGTGGGGGGTAATGATTACATTTTCAATTACATTTGATTACAATTACATTAATTGTAATTGAAGCTTGACCAATTACAATTACTTGTAATGGTAATTGAAGTTTTGCCAATTACAATTACTTGTAATTGTAATTGAAGTTTTGCCAATTACAATTGCTTGTAACTTGAAGAATTTCCAATTACAATTACTTGTAATTGTGAATTTTGTTCCTTATAATTACATGTAATTTGTAATTAGCAATACCTTAATGACAATTACAAGTAATTTTAATTGGAAACTTCAATTACAAGTACATAATTGTAATTGGCAAAACTTCAATTACAATTACAAGTAATTGTAATTCGTTATTGGTCAATTACTCATTACAAATATTTGTAATTGAAAAACTTCAATTACAGTTACAAGTATATAATTGGTTATTGCTCAATTACACATTACAAGTAATTGTAATTTGACCATGTCATGAATTACTTTGCGTAATCATTACCCCCCATGCCTGCTTCATTTAACATTGTGATGTTCTAGGTGAGGATCCATATGTGTATTACATCAGATTAATTCCAAAACTAACTATCTTGCTAAAATTATGGGAGTAAATAATCCGCAACATGATCCTGCAGGCTATGATATAGAACCATAACCATAAACATATTTATTAAAATATACATCATTACAACGAACAATTTTAAAATTTCAAAAGACTGTACTCAATCGTACAGATTTTGACTTCGAATTTTGTCTACTTAACACCTGCATAGACAAAACTCTCTCGCCGTATAAAGGATCAATTGTAACCAGGCTTTGAGACTTTTCCGTACCCGGATTACTTTTCTCCTGTTAGCTGTTTCTTTTGTGAGTTTTTCATAGCCGATACAATATAAGCGTCGGGTTTTGGAAATATACTAGAACTGGTATAATTCGTAAGAATACCATGACTATCCAATTTCAATTGATTTTTCTTAAAAGCACTTTGTCGGGAAACACGTTGAACCGAAGGAGCAGCAGCTGCAAATTATAATAAATTATTAGTACTCGACTATTAAATATCTTCTCTAAAACCAACCTTACCCATATAATTATTAGCCTTTAATCTATCCATTTTTTCTAAAATTGTTGGTTCTCTTTGCAAATTATAGCAAAAACATTTATCACCTGTCTCATCACTGGTTTTTGTGGACTGAACTTGTTTTCTTAATACCAATTCCTTAGGGCGGCCACAGGACAAACATGAGTTTTTGTCTTCTATCAGCATAGGTTTTAAGGTATGACATTTTCTTGATTCTTTTTGCAATTCTTTCAGAAATTCTTTAATTTCAGCATATCTTTGCTCTAAATATTTCTTCATAGCCGGCAAAGTGACCCGATCTAATTTACAGTTTAACATTTCTTGAGTCTCCAACATAGCTTCACGAAAACCTTGTTCATTTTTATCTAAAGAGCAGCGTATTTCTTCAATATCATTTACTATATATTCAATACATTTCTGCTTTCCTGAGGCCTTATTGGCCATCTGCTTGATTTCCTTTAACTTATCGATCATGCTGTCGATTTTAGACTCAAATTCTTTTAAACGTTCCACCATAACTGATGAAACACGTCTCCTTAAGCCCACATTGAAAACAGAATTTCCGGCCATCAAACATAATTCCTTATTGTGTTCCATATAAAGAGTGCACAAATCTTCATTGGCGGCCGCATATAGATCCCAATGTGTAGGATCAAAAACATCCGTTCTAAAACATATACGTATTTCTTCGAAATGTTCTTCGATTTTGTCATCAATTTCTTGTGTTTTATTTTCCAGTTTTTCTAAAAGTTTCCATTTTTCTTCATAACCTTTAATTGTTGTCAATTGAAAATCATATTTTCCTTTGCTTGCGGTTTCTTTTAATAACTTCTCTATACATTTCGCGGGAAATCCTTGAATGCGAACTGTTTCATTGTGGCAATTTAGTTTTTCCAACAGAATAATCAAGAGACTTTGAAGTACACTTAAATGTTCATTAGTTAATTCTGGCGCTCCTAAAGCAATGTTAGCTAATTCATCAAGTGTGAAGGTTTTAGGAGTCGTTAAAGACATGTCGAGATCTTTGATGTGTGTTTGGTGTTTTAATTGCAAAAGAAAAACAAAATAAAGGAAATATTATGAATAAATTAAATTGTTAAATAGAAAAATTTAGAAAAATATTAGGGCATACCAAACATATGTATGATAACCCATGTGATAACCTGCACTTAATATTTAAAGAGTTTTTTTTTTTGAAGATGGTTCAATCAGAGAATAGACCGTAGTCTGGTCCATAAACATGTCAATAGACTGTTTTACAAGACCACACAACTCCTCAAATGTATAACATTAAATCAGCTTGGTTCTCGTAAGATATATTAGTAGATCAATAAGTCTACCCTTGGACCCTTTCTACATACCCTGCAAAAATTGAGACTTATCCGCTCACGTTTATAAAGAGGATTAGGACTGGTCCAAAACTAATCCAAATATATCAAAAACAAACATACTCCATTTAACATTGTGAAGTCCTAGGTGAGGATCACGTAATCCATCCATTTATTACCTCGGAATAATCCCAAAACTACCAAACAAGAACTACTAAACAAGGACTACTAAACAGGGACTACCAAACGGATCATGTAATCCAATAATGTTCACAGGGGAGTAGTTTTTGGATCATATACTCCAATACTTTTTGCAGGGTTTTGTTTTCGTCATTGTAATGGATTAAAGAGGAACCCAAGTAGACTTGCTGGTTTGCGTAGAATGCAACCTGGATATGTCTCATCTATTGTGGGCTATAAATTGTATAGTCTGTCTTTTGTCGAAAAAGGTCCACTTTAACGTTTGAAGATATAATATGATATAATATGAAGATACTACTTTCAGTAAAGTCCAGCAGAATTGCAACTGAACTCGAACTGAAAATTTCCAGAGCAGATCCCAAGCTTGTTATGCTCTTCTGACTGTAAACAGTCAAGTATATTCATGAGAAGACCACGCAAATTGTAAGATGTAAATGGTATTAGATCCAACCCCTAGTCGTGAATTATCTCATTTGGACAATAAGCGTAGACCCATAAAAATCATAAATTTTTGATATAGTGTAGTTAACAACGAGTTCACTTACATTGGCGGCTACGACAGGGCATTCTCATGGAAAGTATTTCCTGTCAGGTTTGCCTAGCAAACAACCTCGATATATCCAGTCTATTACGTATTATAAGTTGCATAGTATGTCTTTCATCGAAAGATAACCACTTGAGCTTAGTCAATCTGCATGTTTTTAGCTCATATAAGAAATAATCTGATGAACTCCTTGAAATATGTAGATCCCAGCGGTATTACAACTGAATTCCAACTGGAGATGTTAAAACCAGCTAATTGCCTTAGCAATCACTATGCGCAGGGACCCCAATTAAGATGATATCAGATGGACGACCAAGTCTAAGTCCTTCAATCATCTATATTCATAGATTCTTGTCTTTAATTTTTATTTTACTATGACCATTCCTTCCTAGAATAGAGAACAACAATTATCCAAAGTTGTGGTACGTTGGGTGTACTAGTACTACTTGCTTGGACTTGACGCTGTAATCAAGATTTGTAGTAACTACTTATTCTTGAAATCAGAATGGTGACATATTTACATAGTGATTCTCTTGAAGATTCTGACCTGGAGTATTATCTTCGGTAGTGTCTACAGATTCGCAGAATCTATCTATGAACTAATACCCTGGACTTATCGGTTATAAGTGTAATATCCAATACATCGTTTGGTCGCTAGTCAATGCCTGAGTTAACGTACCCATAAGAGTACAATTTGTGAATGTATCTCCATCCTGTTAAAGGATGTTCTGCATTCCTGAACTAGACATTATGTAGTTTATATACCCATTAGGGACAACATTTTAGCTTGGCTGTCGTTAAAAATTTGGATCTCTATCCGATACCCTATGATACTAGAGGTAGTTTGCTACCTTTTTAAGCTCTGCATTAGATCACATCATGCAACAGCCTGAAAGAAATCCTAATATTGAACTCTGGTTTGTTTTGAGTTTTGAGTCTTCCTTGTCTACCGCAGACTTTGTGGAGATCGAGTTCCACTCCCAAACTTTCTGAGATAATCAAACCTTGGGATGCATTTTTGCATCTAGTCTAAAAGCTGTTGTCAGGGCTGTTGCCAACATCCTTTTTAGCAACGTAAATATAGACTTCTCAGTGATCCAGTTATTAGGATTGACATTCTCTTAAGGACTTTGTCCTGGAGTTTACAGTTCGAGTTTGTGTTTAATGCTTTCCATCAAACGATAACTTCATACAAAAGAATTGGTTTAATGTCATCAGACGACCGCATCGAGTACTTAATCCAAGTGACCATAACCCAAGAATCTACATACTTTTTTGTAGATCTTTTGAAGAACTACCCAGAATAAACATGGTAATTACTTGTACTTACTTAACAACTTACTTCTTAGTGACTACTACATACCGTGTGCATTATTTGGAAGGAGTCTAGTGATGACTTACAAATAATATATTATGTAAGTACTTACTTTTAAACTTTGGCATATTGTTTTTAACACAAACGAAAACAACAATGAAGCAGAAACGAAACTACTTACCTTTTCGCAAGAGATCGTAGTAAGTACTTACCTAACTCCCATATGTAAGCGAGTGTGGTAAGTACGTGACTGCAATGTCATCCCCGTGTTAAAATAATGACTTAAAATACATTTAAAACCCTTCAGCTGTAACTGTATTACTATATCTGCAATAGTTAACGAGATAGTGAATTATTTAAAAAATCAGGTAATTCTAAGCCATTGTGCATTCTATGAAAGATGTATGTATGTTTAGCATCTTTTTATAAAACATTTAGTTAATATTATAAAACAAGTCCTTTTAAAATTCAAACAAAAACCAACTTCTATGACATCCTTCTATCTTTCATCCTAAATCCAATTACAATAGTTACTGTTCGAAACTCATTTTTTCAAATAACTTCAATCAAATATCAAGAAACAAAAAATAATTGAATTGTTATACAATGACCCAAATGTTATTCCTCGCCATTTCCATTTAACAATCAAAAACCAATTTACAACAATCATTTAAAAAAAATTTCACTTGCCTTTCATCTAAATCTAATGCAGATTTTTGCCTGCAGCTTTACAGTTTCAAAAGAAAAACAAAAAACGGTTACACATACTTATTTCTATACTCTCTTCACTACCAACTGTTTCCTCTTTAAAATTTAGGCTAAATGTCCTTGACCTGCTTGTCAAAATATTTTCTGGTTTACCTACAAATTACGATAAAAACTGCAAATCTTACAAAAAGTTTTTAATATTTCTTTGTTTTTTTTTTGTTATTTTAGGTGCAAAAAACAAAACTAAATACAAAAAATTTATCTTTTTATTCTTCTTGACTTGTTCACTTTAAGTAAAATATCTGTATTTTTTTCTTCTACTACTCTAAGGATTCATCTTATTTTGGCCAACATTTTAAGTTTTTTTCCTTTCGTTAGTTATTTTTCCTTTTTCTATTTTTTATATAAAATTTTTGTAGTTGAAAGTCGAAATGATTGCAAAACTTTCACTGTCAGTATGAAACAAAAAAATGTGAAAAAAATCTGAAAAATACAAAGAAATGAAAGGAATTGAAAACGAAGGTACTGCTAAGCATTTTATATTTAATGTAAAACTAAAACTGAAACTAAAACAAAAAAAAAATAACTCTGAAATATAAAGAACAAAAACAAAAGCTATGGTGGTACTGAAAAGGAATTATCTTAACCCAGTTTTCTGGCTTTGGTAATGTACTGCTTGATGCTGCTTCCACACTGCTGTGTTGTGGTTTTTGACACAGAAATTTTTAATGCATTTTTTAAATCACTGCAATAAAAATAGAATAAACTCACAACCACTAAAGTTTGAAATAATAAATTTTATGTAAAAAAAAAATAAAAGTAGAAAACTGAAATAATATTCAAGAACATTGGAAAAAATGTATAAAATCATTTGTATGAAAAACTAAAAAAAACTATTAATAAATTACAATTGAAAACTGCATATTCGTAAAGTTTGTGTGTGCAACTATGATAACATTTCTGAATGAGTATTAGAGTTAATTATAACAAGATTCAAGGTAATTTTCAAATGAATACAATTTTCTACTTCCCTCTTTCAACACTCATACTTATCAAGGCTAATAATAGCTATGGTGGAAAATGGGAAAATGTTTTACTAATTAGTTGTTGTAATGGTAATAAATTAATGAAGGTAATTACGTTTTTTTAGAAGAGGATATCGTAAAAACTGCTTAACAAATTTTTTATTTAAATTTTAAAATTAAAGTATAGAGGACACTCTTCCTGATTTAAGCTCTGAAATGGAAAGGGAGAACGAATACAAAACTTTTGGAATCAAGATGGCCTGTATTGGAAACATGAGCGGGGGAATGCCATACGACAACGTAGGTATGAAGGACCAATGAAATCATTTAGGTGACCTCAATGGGACGGGGGCAAGAATATTATTTCAGATATTACATAAATCCGGGACTCTGATTTAAAAATTGGAATGAATTACGTCGAGGAATGGAGCTTAGTTAGTTAGTTAGTTAGTTAGTTAGTTAGCTAGTTGGTGAGTTAGTTAGTTAGTTAGTTAGTTAGTTAGTTAGTTACTTAGTTAGTTAGTTAGTTATTAGTAGTTAGTTAGTTAGTAGTTAGTTAGTTAGTTAGTTAGTAGTTAGTTAGTTAGTATAGTTAGTTAGTTAGTTAGTTAGTTAGTTAGTTAGTTAGTTAGTTAGTTGTTAGTAGTTAGTTAGTTAGTTAGTTAGTTAGTTAGTTAGTAGTTAGTTAGTTAGTTAGTAGTTAGTTAGTAGTAGTTAGTTAGTTAGTTAGTTAGTTAGTTAGTTAGTTAGTTAGTTAGTTAGTTAGTTAGTTAGTTAGTAGTTAGTAGTTAGTTAGTTAGTTAGTTAGTTAGTTAGTTAGTTAGTTAGTAGTTAGTTAGTTAGTTAGTTAGTTAGTTAGTTAGTTAGTTAGTAGTTAGTTAGTTAGTTAGTTAGTAGTAGTTAGTTAGTTAGTTAGTTAGTTAGTTAGTTAGTAGTAGTTAGTTAGTTAGTTAGTTAGTTAGTAGTTAGTTA